TTTGTTTCCTAAGATTAAGAATTCTCTTACAGTTTTTCAAACTCATTAATAGTAGCACAATCCTTCCAACAGCTTGGGTGGAGAACTTGGTGTCTCCCTTAACTACCCTCTCTCTTCCTCTTCGTGTCCGATTGGTCAGCAGATCCTGTTGGCCCCACCTTCAGAGTATATCCAGATTCTGCCTGCTTCCTACATTTCCACTGCTACTGCTCTAATCCAAGCCATGTCATCTCTCCTCTCATTAATTGCAATATTCTACCAAATGGTCTTCCTGCTTCCACCCTTATACCTTTTAAAATCAGTTCTCCACAGCCAGTGTGATCGGATGAAAATATAAATCAGTTCGTGTTATTTCTCTGTTCAAAATGACTTCTCATCTGACTCCAAGGAAATGCCAGAACCTCACTATGAACTGAAGGGCTTTCTCCAGTCCTCCCAGCTCATCACCATTGCTTCTCTAACCTCTCCTAGTTCTTGCCCCTTTGCTCACTCAGCTTCGGCCACATTAACCTCCTTGTGGTACTTCAAACATAGAGCCTTGCCCTTGCCTCAGAGGCTTTGTTCTTGTTCTTCCTGTTGGGGTCTGCTTGGCTCACGCCCCCTTCTCCTTTGGGTCTTTGTTCAAACATTACCTTCTCAAAGAGACCTATTCTGGCAAGCTGTTGAAAATGAATTCTTTTCCCCTACAGCCTCCTCTCTCCCTGTGCCCTGCTCTATTTTTCTTTGTTGTGTTTATCACTGCCTATTAAGATTTACATTTTATTTATAGTCTGTGTCTTCCCATTAGAATGAAAGCTCCCTGAGGCAGTGACTTCTGACTGTTTTATGCACTACAAAATTCCAAGCCCCAAGATGAATGTCTGACACATGGTAGGCCTTCAGTAAATATTTGTCGAATGGATGAATGATTAGTATAACTGCCAGACTACATGGATGTATCCCACAGCAAGTTGGGAGTAGAAAGTATTTTGAGCAAGGGTCCCATTGACACACATGTTCTATGAGGTTTGCTATGGTATCAATGTCCAGGTTGGATTGGAAGAAAGAGAAACTAGAAGTTTGGAGATTAGTTAAGAAAAAGTGAAGGTCTAAATTGGAACTGTGACAATGTGAGGGGTTGTTGAGAGACATTTGGAGGGAGAATCCCTGGTATCTGGGTATAGTGGAAGTGGAGCATGGAGGGGTGGCTATAAATATGCAATGGAGACAGGAGAATTTAGGAAAAAGCAGTTTGAGAGAGAAAAGGGAAGATGACTTTGTTTTCAGGTTTATTTTTCAGTTGATAAAATGTACATAACTCAGAATTTACCAGTTTTAAGGGTATAATTCATTGGCATTATGTACATTCATACTGTTGTACAACTATCACCACTACCCATCTCCAGAACATCTTTATCTTCTCATAGTGAAACTCTGAGCCCATTAAACAATAACTCCTTGCTCCCCAGTCCCTGCAACCCCCATTCTACTTTCTGTCTCTACGAATTTGTCTATTCCAGGTATCACATATAAAAGGAATCCTACAATATCGGTTCTTACGTCTTCTTATTTTACATACGGTATCTTTAAGGTCCATCTGTGTTGTAGCATGTGTCAGAATTTCATTCCTCTTTAAGGCGAAATATTCCATTGTATGTGTGTCCTACATGTTGTTTGTCCATTCATCTTGATGGTGGACACTAGGTGTTTCTACCTGTCATGAATAATGCTACTATGAACATTGGTATACAAACATCTGTTCTAGTCTCTGCTTTCGTTTCTTTTGGTTATATGCTCAGGATTGGCATTGCTGGAATTGTTTAATATTTTGGGGGAACCACCATACTGACTTTGGATTTAGACAAACTGTTTGAGGTGGTGGCAAGTCTAACAGTTGGGACTAGAGCATGAGTAAAATCAACTGTAGCCAGAGATTTCATCTCAAGGAACTCAACAGACGGGATGGCTGAAGGAGAGTGAATTAGCTTAAGAAAGGGAAAGAAAAGATTTTAGCCAAGGGTTGCATCTTAGGAGGGAGGAGGAGCTATGCGAGCTCGTCAATGAGACAGAAAAAGAGCAATTGGAGTTAGAAACAGAACCCAGAGTGTTGATGCACACTTAGCTCAAACTCATCCATATTCATTGAGAACTCTTTCAGATGAATAAGCTTCTATTTAAGCATGACATTACTTTCAAGGGTTCGGGTGTTGTAAGTCACAGATCACTACTGAGTGTTGAATGTTTGAGACACAGATACTTTTCAAAAAGGTCCTAGAAGTACCTAAAAAAAGCAGAGGATTTCTATATTCCTTAGTTGGCTGTTCTTCACTTCCTGTTTTGCATTAGTAATTTCACAGTAACTTTTCTTTAACCTTTTATTGAAATATGATATACCTTAAGAAAAGTGAACAAGCCATATGTGGACAACTCAGTGAACTCTCAGATGTTGCATAAACTTGGATATCCAATACCCAGAACAAAACAGTATCTCCCACACCCAGTTGTTCCCATCATGCCCTGCTCCCTCACCCACTCTCCCCATTATCTTGATTTCTAACACCATAGATTTATTTTACCTGTGTTGAACTTTATGTAAGTGTAAGCATGTAGTATGTACTCTTTGTGCCTGACTTCTTTCATTTAATATCATGTTTGTGAAATTCACCCATACAGTTGTGTGTTGTTGTAGTATGTATTCCACTACTTATTACACTGTTTACACCATTCATTCTCGTGTTGATTATTGGCATTTGGGTAGTTTCCAGTTTGGGGCTATTATGAATAGCACTACTATGGACATCAAGTTTCTTATTAAAATAGGAACTTTGCATGTTATGTTCCCCTCTGTAAAGTTGTTTTTGCTTATTTCATTTAAATACCTTTCCTCCCAAGCGCCTTTCTAGACCACCTAAAATATATTTGCCTGAACATTAGTTTTGAAAGGATAAAGTGCCACAAGAAATTAGGTTTCTTCAAAATTGTATGTTCTTGCATAAAAATTTTTCCTTCTAAGCATTTAATTTTTCTGAACTATCCAGACTATGTATCTTAAATGCATTTTGAACCTGTCAAAATTTTTCATCTCTTAATGGGGTGAATTGTTCCACTTTGAGGCAAATATTTTAATTTTGGCATCATGACGAATTGGAGAAAAAAGAATAGCTCCCTCATCCTTAATGCAGATTTATTATCAAACTTAATTATAATTTACATAGCAATAAAAGGAATTGGCAATTAGCAAAAAGTGCATTGTGATATTTTGTCATTTTTCTCCTCAGGTTACAGTCTGCTTTGGTATAAAAAATCAACATTACTAATTCAAAATTGCTAAAATAGTATCAGTCTGGCTATTCTAGACTTGAGTTGAAATTTGCTATATTTAATAAAGATACATACATAATATGATTTATAAATTTGTATGGGTACATGTGTCCATATATATTTCTTTCTACCTACATGTTTGTCTTTTCTCTCTATTCATTTGTCCATCCATCCATCCACCCATCTATCCATCATTCTGTTGACATACTCACGGAAACATTCCTTACAGAAAGAACAATGGAAGACCATGAGCTGGTGATTGAAGTGCTATCTAACTGGGGAATGGAAGAAGAAAATAAACTATACTTTAGAAAAAATTATGCCAAATATGAATTCTTTAAAAACCCAATGGTAAGTGAAATCCCCATTAATAGTTATGGGAAATAAATGAATTCATTAAATGTTATTTTACTTTATGTGAAGAAAAGAGTCACCATAAATCAAATACAATTCTCTATTCGGTAAATTGTAGGTAAAAATTCTGTTCCGTGAACATCATAGTTACGTTTCTTCGTACTCTAACAATGATTAGTCAGCATTATCACAGAAATTCAGATTAACCATTTTGGGGAGCTATTTCTTCTTTTTCTTTTTTCTTTTTTAATTTCTTCTTGTCTATTTTTTTAATTCTTTTTTTTTTTATTATGTTATGTGATAGACATTGGGGGGGTATGTGCTATGGTGAGTGCTGTGAATTGTGTAAGACTGTTGAATCACAGAACTTTTTCTTGCTTTTTAAGAAAAAGAAGATAGTATACATTTAATTTGGGGAATCAATTATTAGATATCCTTAAGCAGCTCCAAAATATTATAGTTTAACACTTTTCATAGAATTTAGGAAATTTAAGTAAGAAAATTTCTAAAGTAAAAACAGATTGATGATTGTTGGGAGTGCTATAGCTTAGCCAAAAATTTCAGATTGACATGAATCTTGCTGTTCCAAAATATTTTTTCAGTGCAGTAAGGACTGAGCTAAGTAGAAATGAGTTAAAGACCAGAGCATTATCTAATAAATACTACTTTCATGATAGTTCTCTTTAAAAGAAAAGAAATATGTGTCACATTCTAGTGAAGATCTAGGGATCTGGAGAAGTCAGAATAGCCTCTGGGCTCATTATTTTAAATTGTTTTTGTCTCTGCAACTGTAGCATATTTTTACATGAAGTTTTGGATAATTGGATTGAAATGATCCTTTATGAAAAATATATGATACACACTATAATAGAATATTTTCAAACCCTGAAAGACCTCTTACGTTCTCTTTTATTTGAACCTATTAATAAAAACATAATGGGATGACCTTTGACAAAGAAAATAAAAGAGTCCTAATAAAAATCAAATAGAATTAGAATTTGAAGGGAAACTATTTTCTTGTTGTTAATCTTTGTTAAAAGCAAGAATTTAAAAGTATAGTTAAAGGCATATGGTTTTAGTGCTTGTTTTTGGTTATATTTTATTATTATTATTATTTGAACAAGGCTGTACACTCATTTTGTAGACCTAGAGCTGTGGTTCTCAACTGGGGGCGATTTGACAATGTCTGGAGACATTTTTGCTTGTCATTCCGGGGGTGGAGGGACAGGGGGGCTGCTAGTAGATAGAGGCCAGGAATGCTGTAACTAATACCACAGTATTAGACCAAATGGTAATAGAGCCGTCATAAAACCCCATCCTTGGAGGAAGTATAGTAGTCTATATTTTCCCAAACGTGTCTGATCATAAAAATTACCTGGGGGAGGAGAGAGGACCCAGACCTACTGAATCAGACACTCTAGGAATGAGGCTTGGGAATTCCTATTTTAAACAACTGCCCTAGTTGAATTTTATGATTGAACAACATTGAAAAGGACCTGACTTTTAGTTCCCTGGCCCTACAAGTCCTGGTTCCTTTACGTGTGGCTGTGACCTTGGGTATACCCCTTACTTCTAGGATCCTTGACTTTGTGACATGGAGTTGATGGTCCTTTATTACCTGCCAGAGTGCCCACAGGACTCAGGGAAGACATAGGGGAACAAGCACGCTGTCATCCTGAGGGCAGTGTTTTGAACTTGACGAATGTGGCTCTCTGCATCCGCATTATCTGAGGCTGCTTGCTAATTTTTGGGCCCTACTCCTACCTTCTCATTAAGATACCTGAACTTAGAGTCCAGGGATTGGCATTTTGAGAAGGACTTTAGGTGAATTTTCAACACACTGATTTAAAGAACTTTTGCTCGAGCTTACTATATCGGTCATAATTGAAGCTTTTCTAACATGGCTTTTGAAATAATGTAACCTGTATCTTTTTGTCAGTATTTTTTTCCAGAGCATATGGTGTCTTTTGCAACTGAAACCAATGGTGAAATATCCCCCACACAGATTTTGCAGGTAAAATACATTTCCATTAAAGTATGTAAGTAACAGTGTAATAAAGGGAAACTTTAAGGTCCATATTTTTACATGCCCAGATTTTGAAATGTTATACCTCGATGGACGAATTTTTGCTGGAGGTGAACCTGAAAGAAAAGAAAGAATAGGGAAGAAAAGAACAAAACCTGAAAAAAGAAGTCCCTAAATCAGGAAAGGCTCCTAACACCAGTATTCTTTCTAGTTTTGGCCAATTGTCAAAGGATTTTCAGTGTTTAAAAAATGTGTTCAAAAAATGTGTATCATGAAAGGAAACTTGGAGAATTTTGCTCTGTGATGTGTTTAAAGACTATGTTAGCCTTTTTGAAAAATCAAAATCCCCAGTAAATTGTACACATTTTGCTAACAGATATTTAGTATTAACCTTTATAACAAATGCTCCCAATCCTATTTGTGATAAAATATTTAGCAACTAAGTGAAAGGAGAAAAAAAGATATAAAAATATATATTTTGTACATTGATGTGTCATTAGCTATGTTGGATACTTGAGGAGAATTCTGAAATGTCTTAGCTGAATTAAGAATACTAGTTATTTAATTAAAAATCACCTTAGTTTTGCATCTTTGGGGCTCATTCCTTCCAAACTGGCAGTGGCTTTATGTGATCATTTTAAAAAGATATTTTCATTACAATAAAAGGATGATTTTCATTATTTTATTTTTTGTAGATCAGTCGATTTCACATCAGAAGCTCCGCAGTTGTTAACAGGTTAATGTTCAGCAATGTCTTTATAATGGTTACTGTTTGATCTAAGCCTGCGGATATGGTCATACCCACTCAGTATTCTCTGATCTTTAAAGAAGGCCGCTTTTAATATTTCCTATATAGATACTACTTTAAATATATTGGTATTTAAACATATCGGTAAATACATTGGGTGGTACGGATCTGTTTTCTATGGGCTTTTTAATAGGTTATATTTCATTTTTGCTCTTCATAATATTTTAGCAATATGATTAGTCTCAAGAAATTTTCCTAAAAGTGTCTTCTGTGCTACCGGGTTTCGCAGACACCCCATCAGAATACTAGGCTGAATGGCAGGGGCAGCAGCAGCTGTGTGTGAGGACCCCCCGGCTCCCAGGCCCTCTCAGTGCCTCACCACTGGATTGTGACAGGGTGGTGGGTTGGAGTTTTTATTGCACCTCCTTCCCCCAGTTCTTCTCTAATATAGTTATATTACTTTAATGTGAAATTACAAAAACAAGAAAAATCATAGCTTTGGAATCAGATATCCCTGCATGTGCCTCTGACCTTTTCTCTCCACTGAGGCAATGTTTCTTCTCTTTCTAGAATGACCTCTGTGACTCCCTTTTTAAAATTTAATTGGTTTGGTTTAATAACTTGGAAAGCACTCAAACTAAAAAACCTACTTGCCTGTTTTGCATGTCAATTAATAACTGTGGCTCATTACGTTAAAAAATTTTTAATAATTTACTTAAAAACATACATATCCCTTCTCAGCATTTCCCTGAGTAGCCTTTTAAAATATGTCACATCATTTTAGGTAGTAATTTCTCTTACTTTCAGTTTTTCCATTTTGCATTTGTTTATTCATAGGGATTTCTGTTTTCTTCTTTGAATGAGATGCTAATGCATTTCCACTGTCTTATTAAGGATGCTGAGTACAACCACTCATACAGAGCTATTCCTTTTCATTCTCATTTTCCTGACCAGCACATGCCTACTGTCTCAGTTCATTATTACTTTGTAACAAACTATTCCAAACCTTAATGGCTTAAGTACCCACTCACATTTTGCCAGCAATTTTGTGGGTCAGGAATTCCGAGAGGGTTTAGCTGGGTGGGTCATCTCTGAGGCACATTGACTCTCTGGGGGTTGAGGATCCCCTTCTAAGATGGCTTTTCACTATGTGTCCCTGCTACCCCTGGACCTCTCTTCTCTCCACATGGGGTCTCCATCCTCACGGGCTTTAATAGTGCATTGGCCTTCTCACAGCAGAGCTGTCTCAGGGTAGTCACATTTCTTATGGGACCGCTAGCTTCCAGGAGTTAACTAGTGGAGGCCATCAGGCTAGTTAAGGACTAGAACTAGAATGAGCTGACTGTCACTTCTGCCATATTCCATTGGTTAAAGAGTCATAATAAGCCTTGCCCAGATTCAAAGGGGGTAGAGAAACAGACTCCAGCTCTTCATGGTTAGGTGGCAAGATCACCTTGCAGAAGAGTATGTGGGATGGGAAATAGTGTTGCGGTTCTTTTGGAAAACACAAGGTGCCACAGCCACCCCCCACTGAGCCCCACAGAGGACAAAGAAAAGATTGTTTGCTTTACCTCATCAAGGAGGTGAACTCGGCTCAACTTTCTAAACAATTGAATAATTGAAGTCAAGATCATGGTCTTTTACTTATACTGTAATGAAGTTGATAAGCGCCCAGGGAAAATCATAGAAAAGGATGAAAAGTATCAGGACTTAACTCTTAGATGAAATCTAGCTTTCCAAATAGACATTCAAATAACTTATCATTTTGGTGTTTGGCTAAGTCCTGACCGCTTAGAATGTATATTTTGTGAACAGATTTCCATTTGGAACTTGCCTCAGGTTATCGAAAGACTGATTTATTTTCTGTTGTATTTATATTGCCATGCCTGTAATGATACGTTTAAGTGGTATTGACACTGTTAGAGTTTACATGTCTATATTTGAAATCTTAGGTTACTATAAGGCTACAGTATTATCGATTCAGAAACAGCATGAGGATGTCTAACTTTTCTTGCAGATGTTTCTGAGTTCAAGCACATACCCTGAAATCCATGGCTTCTTACATGCAAAAGAGCAGGGAAAGAAGTCCTGGAAAAAGATTTACTTCCTTCTAAGAAGATCTGGTTTATATTTTTCTACTAAAGGGACATCAAAGGTAATTGAAATGTCCATGATGTGTTATGAATTATAAGTGAAAGTGGGTTTTACTTTGTTTTTATTAGTATATTACTGGATATCAAGAGTTGGTACATTGATTTTAGATCCCAGACATTTGCCATAATCTGTTTAAAAACTGACTATTCAGCTTTGTTCCCCACTAATTTCAACATACATCCTGTGATAGAATCTAGACGCTCTTATTTCGGGACCACATACTGTGCTCATTTCTTCTCCACTCCAAATTCACCTCCTCTTCCTTACCCTCGGTTGCAGATTGTGAGGTCTGGCACACGGTCTCCTCTTTTCACCCCAGGTCATCCTGCTGATCTTGCCCACTTCTGAACTCCTGTTTTTGTTGATGCAGTTAGTAACACTCAGCTGAGTCTGTAATTGCTCTTTAATTCCTTTGTGTGTGTGGTAGTTTTATCTCCTTAGCTAGATTATACATTCCTTAAAGGGAGTTAGTTATATTATGACCAGGGGTGGATGCATGCGTTCATTTGTGTGCTGGAGTGCGTATACTTGTGCATACAGTCACATAGACACACTTGTGCAGATGCTCCTACACACCATCATTCGCCCATGTCATTCCCACCGTGCTCAGCACCGTGTTGTCTGTGTGTCTGTGTGGTCTAGTCAGTGTCAACTACGCCGTGTTTTATAAGTGCTGACGTTTTATGCAAAGCATTGATCTCTTTCAAGTAAAACTACTTTTGAGAGTTTTCATGGGTGGCTATTTTAATTCTGTTTTCATGCATCTGTTGTTGTCAACAACATTGTTAATTCTTTGTGGGTAATGTCATTTTTCTCTGGAGGTTTTTCAAATATTATGATAATCATTGGTGTTCAGTAATTTCCCTGACCATATTTCTAGGTGCATTCAAATGTATTCTGATACATCTTACTCGATTCTCAACATATGCATTCAATCTGCAAATTTCTCTTTTTCTTTTATGCTGGAAATGTTCATCCATTATTTATTGCTCCCTCTCATTATGTGATCCTTTCAATTTCTGTAGGCTTTTCTGTCTTGGCTAGTCGTGGCTCCAGGCACCCCTTTGCTTGTGACCACCTCCCTCCAGGCTTTCTGTCTTTACATGGCCTTCTCTTTCTCTGTCTCTTAAAAGGACACTTGTCATTGGATTTAGGGCCCACCCAGATAATTTGAGATGGTCTCATCTTGAGATCCTTAACTTAATTACATCTGCAAAGACCCTTTTTCCAAATCATGTGGTATTCACAGTTTCTTGGGATGGGGGCAGGGATATATTTGGGAGGGGGCAGTCACTCAATTCACTGTAGAAAGCCAGTGAAATATTTTGAGCAAGAGAGTGAGATGATCAAGTTGTAAGATTACTGTGGCCATAGGGAGCTTAAAAAAATCAAGTGGGTAGAGGGAGAGAGAGAAAAAAGGCAATGAGGGGAAGGGAGCAAAGGAGGCAGGGAGTGGGGGGACAGAGAGAGAGAGAGAGATTGACTAGAGGCACAGATGCTAATTAGATGGTCATTTCAGTAATCCAGAGTGGAGGTGATGGGATTTAACCTAGGATGAGCAGTGGAGGGGGAAGAAAGGGATGGAGAGAAGATTAAATGTCAACTGGCCAAGTTTTGTTGACTGATTGATATGAAAGGAGAGGAAGCATTTTATGTTCCTAGAGAAAGAAATAAGAAATAGGCAATGATTTAATACAGTAAACAGGAATAGGAGATTTGCTATCACATTATCTTAGAAGTAGGATAATGATCTTAGTTGTAGATACATTGTGTTAAGGGTGAAGAATCCAAATGGAAATGCCCAGAATAGTTAATGACGGCGACCAGATATTCTAGTGATAGGGAGCCACAAGGAGTGACAGTTGACTCCTCCAAACTTTCCTCAGCTTTCCCTCATACACAGTTTTCCTTCATTGCTGTTCACATGTGTTCATGTCACATGTGTGTGTCTCCTTGAAGTGTAAGTGATGGAACAGGGCTCTACTAATTTATTATCACATTCCCTTACAGAAATGTTTTATTTTTTAAGTATATATCATTTGACTAGTAGTATTCAACTATTTTTTCTTGAACGTTTAAACTAGTTTTCAGATTTTTCTGTCAGGACTAATGTTAGGATAAATAATTACCTATTTCTGTAATTAAGGTTTTAGACTTTCTCTAGTCTAAATTTTAGTGAGATTGCTCTTTTCCCTGTGTTCCTAAGTATAAAATTACATATGAAGGTGTTTTTTAAACAAATACATACATATCTTTTATACTTTTAACATCAGAGAAAAGTGGCTTCTACATCCAGTAATCATGTTGATCCTACTCTTTCCACTGAACCTTCACTGGAAGATATGATAATGTTTCTTTAATTCCTAAATTCTTATTTCTTCAACACGTTTCTCATTAAAATCAACTGCCCATTATATTTTTACTTCAGCCTTCACCTCCTTTCCCTGCCCACCCATTATACAAAAGACAGCGCCTTATTCCTTCTACTGGATCCACGCTTTTATCCTTGCAGTGGTCTTCCCCTTGGCCAGGCAGATTACAAGCATCAAACTTCTATTCTCAGTCCATATCTTAGCTCTTTTCAACATAGTGTCTGACTTAGCTATACTTCAGTACATAATATTCTTCTCTCTAGCCTGTGTCTAATGAGCTCATGTTCCACAGTCTATACATGAAAATGATTTTCAGTTTCCCCTCAAAAAAAAAAAAAATACAAGGTATTAGGTAACCTCAAGGATTATGACCTTGATATAAATTATGCATGTTATCTAATGTCTGATATGACATTTCTGCCTGGGAAAGAGACCATTTCCTGTCCTTTTTCTGTGAGAAGGTCTTGATTTATTGTACTTTCTGAAGATGTGGGCTGCATGGGAGTTAGTTAACCACTGCTACAAGCCTTGGAGATGTGGCTCTGACTTTTATTTACAGAGAAACGTCTAAGTACGCCTTTCTCCCACTCTCCCCTTGTATACACACATGCATGCATAGCCTTTGCTGACCATGCCAGCCCAGGCTTTTAGTCTTACAGTATCATAAGCCTTGCTCTGTCTGCACTAATGGAGCAAAAATCAGTCAAGAGATGAGATTCATCATGCCTTCTAGAGTTTCTCAAGCTGCCTTTTTTTCTTACATCCAGAGGACTCAGCTACATTGACTTCTACAGTGTCAGTGGACAGGGCTGGTTTTATCTTTTCTTCATAGGAATCAGACATTTTTACTAGCAAATCAGTTTCTATCAAAAAATAGTTTTAAAGGCCATGACAGTAAGAGTACCTTTCTCCTTCCTCTTCCCTTGTTCCAAGGGCCCTAGGCTGGGTCTCTTTCAACAGTTTTCTTTTCTGCCTTATTCTCCCATGGAGATGGGAACTGTAGTCATTCATTAGATCAAAATGCCTAAGAACAGTGACACACAGAGGACAGTGACATACACAGAAACTCTCGCTCTTCCGATCATCAGGGATGGAATAGCCCGCTGGTAAATGACTGAAATTTTTTTGGATTTGGATTTGAATGGGTTGCTCAAATTGCTGAATGTTCTGGGTTTTCTGTCTTTTCGGTTTTGTTTTGTTTTAGAGCACTGCTTCTCAATTTTCAGTGCTATGAATCACCTGGGATCTTGTTAAAATGCAGATTTTGATTCAGTAGGTCTGTGGTGGGGCCACAGATTTTTGCATTTCTAATAAGCTCCCAGGTGATGTCTGTGCTCCCGGTCGGGGACCACACTACTACTAGCAAGGTTCTAAAGAACAAATGCATTTTGGTCGGTTTTGATTATACAACCAACCCCAGAATTAAGCACTTCTCCAAGTTATTAACCTGTCACAGAATAATATGACCCAGTGATTTCCCATGGCCAGCTTTAAATCTCATGGATCTCCCAGAGAAGAAACAGCTGTTCATGATTCCCCTTTACCTTGAAAACCAGACACATTCCACTGCCAGGTAATTTCCCGGAACTCATCTGTACAGGCCTCCTTGTTTTCGTACGGAAGGTAGTGATGCCGCCTATTTCATTGCTGTGGTGTCCCAGGCGGTGCCCACATGTGAGGGGGGCCTTTGCTAAACAGAGCAGGAGTCCTCGTCTCTTTCTTCTTTTTCTTCTCTGACTGCTGTGGAAGCTCAAACCACCCTTCTTGTCTTTGCTGAACTACCATTATTTGAAACCTGGACCAGGAAAACATTTTCAAAAGCCATTCTTTGCTGCCTTCTCTCCCTGAGATTCCTGAAACGGTGGTTAAAGAGAAAAATTTTAAAATAGGAAGATAAAAATTTTTGCATATATTGGCAGTTAAATGATAAACAAACCACTTTTCAAATAATATTGTATCAAGCTCCTGGTTCTTGACGGATATAGTAACTTCATTTTTCTTCCCTTTTTGTTTCTGTGCCATTGTTCGGAATAATTTTTTGCCAAGGTAGAAATTGTGTAATATAATAGAAATACAAAAGAGATTGTGCAAAAGTATGGATTCATTTCAACACTCACATCTGTATCTTTTTAAAGGAACCCCGGCATTTGCAGTTTTTCAGCGAATTTGGCAATAGTGATATTTATGTGTCCCTGGCAGGCAAAAAAAAACACGGAGCACCGACTAACTATGGATTCTGCTTTAAGGTACAGGCTTAATATTTTGATAGATGAATAAAGCAAGCCTCAGCCTTTTAGGTAAGCTTGGGTTTCTTTTAATTTCTTTTAAAAAAGAGACAGCTTTCTCTTATATATAGGAGAATTTTAGTGGCTTTTATTTCAACAGGTGTTACCTTCAAGATATGCATTAACGATAAACAATGTGCTGTGGCCTTCTAGCCTAACAAAGCGGGAGGGCCCCGAGACCTGAAAATGCTCTGTGCAGAAGAAGAGCAGAGTAGGACGTGCTGGGTGACCGCGATTAGATTGCTTAAGGTAATCTCACTGCAGGCGTGAATTTCTATTAATGCTGTGAGTGCCATCAAAGTTTGAAAATGTCTGTATTTCAAAATGCGAAGACTCACTATAAGTCCATGTATCCAAATGTATGTATTTTTTTTTTAATCTGAAAGATAAACATTAGTAGAGTGGAGTAGCCTAAATGCATTTATCTTGTGCATGTAGAGTAAGTATTCCATTTTTAGAAATGCTCTGAATTTTATTTTTTTCAAGAGTTATTACATATATAGCTAGTATAACTCATTAAAACTTTATACCTGACTCAGTCTACATTTTTAAGATATTGCCATCAATCCAACATGACGTGTATTTTAAAGTGTGCGCACCTAGCTATGCTTAGTGCAGTTGTTTTACATTTCGTTTAAGTGTTGTATAAATTGCTTTCTAGTTTACTTCAAATTATTATGCAAATTTTACTGTAATATACTATGAAAACATCAACCTTTGTGTTAAGTAGAAATTACAACTTAAGTAAGCATAGTTTACTGGGGAGCATGTTGAAAGGAGTAAGAATGTTCTAAAAGTTATGTGGGGAAGAAAGACATAGAATGATTTCTTCTAGAATGTACAGAAAACACATTTAATTTCAAAACTTGTGTGTTAGTAAATTTAACACAACTTCATAATTATAAAAATTATCAACCATTTCCCTTTGAAGAAGTGCAGAATAATCAGAATCAGAATTATTAGTTGTCATACCAGGTTGGGAAGATCGTTTTAGTTTTTATTATTTTAATTTATTTAATATAGGTGAAATTCACATAACATAAAATAACTGAATTAACTATTTTAATCAGCTGTGGTAATATGATGAGCATATTATTAGCTGTGTTCATTTTAACTATGTGAACAATACAGTGCCATTTAGTTCATTCAGAATGTCGTGCACCCACCCCCTCTAGCTAGCTTTTAGCTCCAAAACATTTTTATCACCTCAAAAGAAAACTGCATACCCATTAAGCAGTTACTTCCAGCCCCTGGCAACCATCCATATCTGTGTCTGTCTGTATAGGATTTCCCTATTTCGACATTTCATAGAAATGGAATCCTACAATAGCTGACGTTTTGTGTCTCACTTCTTTTATAAAGCATATTGTTTTGTGGTTCATCCACCTTATAGCATATATTATTACTTGGTTCCTTTTTTATGGCTGAATAATATTCCATTGTGTGTGTGTGTGTGTGTGTGTGTGTGTGTATACATACATACGTACATACATACATACAAACTGTTAGACTGTTTATTTATCCATTAATGGACATTTGGGTTGTTTGCATCTTTTGACTATTATGAGTAGTACTGCTATGAACATATGTGTTCATGTATTTATTTGGATACCTGTTTTCAATTTGGAGGGTATATACCTAGGAGTAGAATTGCTGGTCATATGGTAATTCTGTTTAACCTTTTGAAGAATTGCCAAAATGTTTTCCACAGTGGCTAAACTGTTTAATGTTCCCACCTGCAATGTATGAGAATTCCAATTTCTCCATATCCTTACTAACACTTGTTATTTTCCTTTTTTAAAAAAATAATTATCCCAGTGGATGTGAAGTGGTATCAGCAGAAAAATTTTTAGATGGCTTAAAGGAAGCTTTTGGATTAACTCTGAAATTTGCTTCCTTTTGCTGTGATAGCAGATAGCCATTGTAGTTAGCTTTTTACAACAGGTTTGTTTTTCAAATAGTCTACTGTTAAATGACTGTCATGATTTTGGTTTCAACAAATCTTAGAAGTCTTGATTCTTTGAAACCCCCATGGTAAGTAATTGCTTCTATGTTGCTCTCATTGTCATAAAATGTAAAAAAAGAAAAAAGAAAAGAACTTTAGAGAGTGTTGGGAACCAACCAGTCAAGGAAGTAGTAACTAGTTAACTCAGGATGTGCTTTGGAATCACCTGAGGAGTATTCTGAAGTTCTGTGTCCCCAGCCCCATCCTTGGGGATCCCGATTTAGTGAGTGAACTCCAGGTGTTTGTCTGACTAAGAACCAGTGACCTCATCCAGTCCTCTTCTTTTGCAGATGAAGAGGCTGACACGTTTTGGAATACTTAAACCCGACATAGTTATAGTCAGAAAATACCTTGAGGTCTCTGGTTTTCTCTTTCCTTCCATCAGAACTCTGGAAATCAGGCTAGGCTAGTAAAGGAGATGCTTTCCAACCTGGTTAGTCAAGGCTTCCTCCCTTCTAGTTTGATCTCAAGATCAGACACCCAACTCCAAAGCAGGTGGTAAGAACACTTCCTTTAATGCCACTGATTTTACTAGGATACCATTATTTTTTGTATAAGTAGAAAGAAAAGAAATATGCCAATAAAATTATGATATGATGCTTTCATATCCCTTGTGATTTTTATTTTCATTTAGTTACTTTAGATTTATTTAGGTCTATAGGTGTAGATTTTCATCATTTATCAATTTTGTGTACACACACACACACACACACACATATATGAAATAAATTATGAGAGGCATCTCTAAAACTTCTTCATGTTCTAAGTCTAGCTTTCCCGAATCATTTTTATCTCAGATCCATGGCTACCCATATTTCATACAGACTATCTCACTCTGTGCTGTCAAGAGCTTCAAGGAGGCCGAACTTAGACAGGTGCGCTGCCATGGTCTCTGGAATTGTCTTTCTAGCCCTTCTGCAAGGTTTGATGCAAATGATTTCTTGATCTCACCAAACATTTCAGGCAGTGACAAGTCACTTGGTCCACAGTGAATATAAGATGCTATAGTTAAGGCAAATTTTTATGAATGTTAAATTTGAAAAGAAGCATGTATCCAAGAATTGGTGAAATATACTAAAAGCTTTTTTTTTGATTCTTCCATATCCAGAATGCTGTTCCTGGAAGATTGTCCCCTTCTCACTTTTTTCTTTTTTCATTTGATCTTTTTGAAGCCTCTTTCAAGGCACAAATGTCCATCCAACTCAAAGATGGTCTGTTGTATTAGTTTCAATGGCTTCTGTAACAAATGACTACCACTTTAGTGACCTAAAACAACAGAAATTTATTATCCTACACTGTTGTCATTCAGAAAGTCTGAAATGGGACTTATTGGCCTAAATGCAAGGTGTCCAAGGACCTGCAGTCCCTTTCGGGGACTCTGGGGAAGAATCCATTTCTCATGCCCTTTCCAGACTTTACAGGCTGCCTAGATTCCTTGGCTCATGGTCTCTTTCTCTACCCTCAAAACCAGCAATGTCGAGCTAAGATCTTTTCATGCTGCAACTTCCTTCTCTTCTCTGCCTCCCCCTTCCACTTACTAAGTAAGGGCCCTTGTGATTATATTGGATCCACCTAGATAATCACCTAATTTCAATATCAGCTGATTAGCACCCTTAATTGTATCTGCCACATTAATTCCTCTATGCCATGTAACCTAACATATTCCCAGGCTCCAGGAATTAGGATGTGGACATCTCTGGGGGCCATTATTCTACCTATCCCATCCATTTTCCCTGTGTGTGTGTATTTTTTTTTTTCCTTTTTTAATTGTGGTAAATCTTTTCCAGGTAAGGCAGAGAGGGAGGCAGGCATCAAGGAGAACCTTTACCTTGGAGGCAATGATAAGCCACCAAACACTTTCAAATGGGAAAGTGATATGATCTGCTTTACCCTTTAAAATATCCAGATTCAGGAAGCCAGGGCTTGCTAGCACAGACACATTTGAAGGACTCTAATCAGGGAGTCAGGTGGTTTCCCCTGGCAGCTTGTCGTCAGCCGGGCACCTGCTTCATCACGCTGGCTGGTGCACTGGACTCACATGGTGTTAGAGGTATCTTTGGATTTTCGACTCTGGTTGTCTGTTGTATTTCCAGTTTATCACTGTGCTTAGTGGGAGGTGCAGGGACAGATGAGTCTGTTATGTTGACTGGACTGAAAGGGCCCCGGATTTTCTTCACACGCTATTTCCTAGATCCTGCCTCCTCCAAGAATTTGGCCTCTTGTTTTATTTTTAGTTCCTTTTCTTGTTCATACACACATGTGAACTGTTCATGTAGTAGCAGAGGAAGATCCTCCTGTCCTCTTTGGAGAAATAACAGTTATATGTAGATTCATAGAAAATCTGAGAATTGCTCATGTACAGTGTCCTGGTTACGTGTTGTCTTCTTCCCTTCCCTTCAAGTGGAACTCTGCTAGCTTCTTCCGTAATTTGGTCCCTTGTCTGCCCCTCTGTAGGACGGGGCCATTTTAAGGTGATTCATGCCCTACCCCTCCACCAGAGTTAAATGCCCCCTAAAGACCACCAACAGCACAGAAGCAACTACCTAACACTACAGGTATCAAGGACCATATTTAGGAAGGAAACAGGCTTAACAGTAGGTAGCTGGCTTTTCACTGCAGATAAATAAAAGGCGACCAAACAGCGTGCATGTACCTTGTGAAAGAATTGATTAGAGGTTATTGTATAGTCTCCAAAATGAACTTGACTAGGAATTAAACTCCTCTCTCTTCTTTTGATAGTTATGGTAGGTTTAGGGTTGATTTAAAGTAAATTTCATTAGGTCCCATTAATGTCAATCAAACTGTAAATTAAAAAATAATTTTTATAAGTTGGGAAATAATTGGATAAAGAAGTCAATAGAGAGAATTTTAAATGAATGTGGGTTTTTGTAGTCATGTTAAAAGCAAAATCTTGGAAATAGTGACTCTCCACGCCACCCTCTGATTTTTCTGCCTAATTACCAAATAGATCCACTTTGCTGGAATTGCTTTTAAGGAAATAGTCTTCAGGAGAGAAACAGCTCTGTTGGAATGTTTAAACGGAATTCATCCTAAGGGTGAGATTGGATTCCATGGTGTCTCCTCAATCTCTTTTATATAGGACCTACTTCCAAGTTCATTGTGGCTCTGTGAAATAGAATTGTTGAGGGTAGCCAGAAAAAAGAAAAGAAATGTAAAGGCCTCTCTGTCCCATTGTGGTTTTGCTTTGTATTCTTTTTCTTTTGTTTTTTGTTTTTTAAACAAAGTGGATTAAATCTGAGGGGAGTACCTTATAGCTTCAGATGGTGAGCCCTCCAAAATAAGTTTGGTCATGGCAGTTAGCATTCTTAATTTTCTCAAACCTAGTAATCCACATACAGTCCAGACCCACTTTCCAATAGTAGCCTGGCAGCTGAGTCTTGCGATGCTGCTTCCTGAAAATAAAGATGCTGCATTTTTTTTCTACTGCAGTTTACATTGTATTTTGTGACCCTTTGTGTGAGATCCCTGCCATTTTGATTTCCCTGAATTTAAAGCCAAAAATTAAACAATGCGCTAAGAGTATTGTTAGTAGAGGATACTGCAGTGTCAAGAATCTTTAACGTAGGGCCAAGTTTATGGATTTGCCGAAGAGATGATATAATTCGTCAATCAGTCATTGAAGAGTTATGGTGAATTTTACTCTGTTTTGCTTAAGATGCGTGTAAGGTTTTCAGACTCCTTGTTCCATAAAGTCTGACGTCCTTCGCAAGTGAGCTCTCTTTTCACTAGGTGATAGACCATTCCAAGTGGTTTTGGTGCTAAGAATAATGAGTAGGAATGTCAGTTACAGATCTTTATACTGGCAAGCTAGACCTTAAGTGTGGTTTCAAGTAAAAAACTCTGTCTTTTTATTTTATTTTATTTATTTAAGATTTTATTTATTTATTTGTCAGAGAGAGCACCCAAGCAGGGAGGGTGGCAGGCAGAGGGAAAAGCAGGCTCCCCGCTGAGCAGGGAGCCCGATGCGGGGCTCCATCCCAGGACCCCTGGATCATGACCCGAGCCGAAGGTAGACGCTCGACCGACTGAGCCACCCAGGGGCCTCCAAAAACAGTCTTTTTAAATGTGTCATTGTAAGGCAGTAAAAAGCTTACCTTTCAAAATTATGGTTGCCTTACCAATTTGTTTTAAGGAAAGCTTAAAATTTTTGTTTCTTATATTATGATATGTAACCAATTCGAGTACTGAGTTTTTTCCCCCGAGTTACCTGTGTAGTGAAAGTGATGGGAGTGTGTTTTTATTTATTTGTTCTGCAGTATGGCATGCAGCTGTACCAGAATTACATGCATCCCTATCAAGGTAGAAGTGGCTGCAGTTCTCAGAGTGTCTCACCCATGGTAAGGACCATATTTATTAATCTGTATATTTTATATTTACATTACATCAATTTGCAATAATATTGTATTATAAATGTACATTGCAGTACATTTACATACTTTCCTTCTGGTCAACTAAAGTAAGTCTTTGACACCATCCTAACATAATGCTACTGAATTATTTATTCTTGGATTTCACAGGATTGCAGCCTATGTGATCGAGTCACAGCAGTAGAGTATCATGAAGTATTCGCTTAAAATAGATAATGTCATATGTTAAAGAAAATCTGTAAATATTTGAAAGTGTTATGTGAATCATTCTGTGTCATTACAACATTTGAGGATTAAATTTTAATATAATTTTTAGAATGTTTTCCTTGGGATTGTAGATGTTTCCTTAATTATTGATTTTGGTTGTGGGTTTATTTTAATATTGATTCTGGAATTGTCATAGCCTAGTATAAACCAAAGCCAGTGGTTTGGAATTCTAAAAGCTGCACTATACACAGGTGAGCTCTTTTGCATCCTGGGCTTCTAACAATAAAATTTTTTAAGGTCTAGGTCCTTGAAAAGCAAACTGCTCTTCAGGAAACCCAAAAACCGCAAGCCAAAATATAGCTTGTGCATTACATTAAATCTAACACCACTTCTCAGATTTATACTAACTGTAACTTGAACGTTTATTTTTGCAGATACACACAGACGTATCTTTTCCCTTCTTTAGAATTTAATTTTAATTTATTGTGCATTAACACAAGAAATTTATTTCTGCACTTAAAAGTTTATGTTCGGCTATTTTTGCTCTTGCTCTCTAATACTGAGTATATTAGGAATTTGGGTGTATGTGCCTGTGTTACAAATCAGCTAACACGCAGCATTTCCACTTAGGTTAAAAATATGCTCCTCATGGCTGTGACCAAGGAAGGCGCATTTCCCCACATGTAATGTAGCAGATGAAATGCTCAGTTCTAGGAATGAGGCATGAAATAATGTTGATTACAAAGTCTGATAGACTAATAGGAAAAAAGAACACCAATTCTGGAGTTACGTTGCTTTAGGTTATGGAAGAGTAACTTTTCATCTTTGTATCATATTACTTTTAAGCCCTAAAATAAGAAACTAAAGACTGGAATGAATTTTTATAAAAGCAATGGCTTTAGGTGCGTATTTGTATAATTTGTCAGCTTACCTTTATCTTTCAATCCACATGTATATAAAGAATAATGGATTTTATTATCTTAATCCTTTTCTAAATCCTTCTAAATTTCTTTTAGAGTCTAAAGTTATTAGGATGAGCATGTTAATAGCAGCCATACGTTTGGAGGCAGTTGCCTAGTGTCCTCTTAATCATAGGGAAAAGATGTCATAAACAAAGTACTGTATAGCCTCATTGCTGTCGTTAGCATATAAGCTTGGTATTAGTCTTGCCACTTTCCATTGAAAGTGGCCCTATTGTTGATCACTATGTACATGGCAGTTTGGTTAGTGTGACTTTGCTTGTTCAGCACCATGGATAGGGAAAGACACTTCTTGAGTGAATCTGGTTGGCAATTTAGGGATTTTGTAGGGGGCCTGTGTAGTAGGACCTGGCTGTCCTGTATGGCAGTTGTCAAGATCAAACAGAATGGCTCTGGAGAATTATATCGCCACTCTTCTTAACTTACATGAAGGAAACTGAGATATTTGGGGAGGTATTTATGTTTACTTTGATGTCTATACAGAGTCCCACCTTTCTCGGTTATCACAGAAGAACCAGTGACCTATATAATGGATGCCAGTGTTCCTCACCTGCGTCGGCTGGTTTTCTTCCAGACACTGTCTCCAGTGAGAATCCTAGAAAACTGAGTATACTTCAGTTATATATTTTTAAAGGAACAATATTCTTAATTTCTCCAGGGATACATTTTGAGAAGGGAAATAAGAAAAAGACATGTCTTCCACCACTATATACAGCACATCATGGCCACCCCTATCTGCCTTTGAAATGAGAATTATCAGCAGATATTTCAGGAAGCCAAATATGTGGTCCTTTTCAGCACAAAGGAGCATGTGTTAGTATGGCCCTTATTGGAGAGAGGGGATGGGGAAAACTAGTCTACTCAAGTCCTTATTACTCCTCACTCTTGACCCTGAGCTAGACGTTGAAAACTGCACTTTCTTCCCTGTACCTCCCCCTCTGTGGTACATAAAAGAACCTGGAAAGAGTCTATCTGTCACTGCTTTTACCATAAGCTGCCCATGTGACCTTGGTTTAGTCACTGGTGTCCTGCAGTGTGAAACAAGGGGGACAGTTGCATAAGTTCGGGGATCGATTACATCTCTTATGTCCTCTGACACCGTATGAAGCAGAGAGAATGATATCAGGAACTCCTGTGCCCTCTTGCTAAGGACCGTGCTGCAGGTTTATCTACATCTTTCAAATGGGGTGACAGAGAGTGTTGGCTGCTCGTCGCCACCAACCTACACTACCTGAAAAACATTTCGTGTCCAAAGCTCGCTAGGAGTGACTGGATCTGATCTCAGAGTGTGGCCTGGAGAATCCAGGGTGCACCCAGGCCCCTTCTTTCTTGAAAAAAGAGGGATGTCATTAAAATCATGGACCCTTTTCCAGGGCTTGCCCTGTTCATTCCACCAGAAGAAAGAGCTAGAAAAAGGGACCAATATTTGAGAAATACACTGATTCTGAATGTTATCAACATTGCTTTCTTATGTGAAAGAAATTGAGCTGAAAATGACCTTTTGAGTTCAAGTCAGATTCCGCTTCACTTCTATTTCTTTGTCCACCAAAGGTAAACTATTAATTTTTCATCCACCACCTGCTATTCAGTAGGAGCCATTTGCTATATTCCTGTGTTTTCCCTGGTGTAGTTAATGTAGCAAATGAAAATATTTATTTGTATTGTAGACTCCCTACTAATGTCAAGTAATTATGGAACATGGGACCTCGTTTTACATTCTATCCTGTTGTGTAGTAGGCAAACAAAAACAACCAGTTATGTTAATTTTTCTTTCCTAACAGTATTTTTATGTTATCAGGACCTTGTGATTACGACGCCCATCTTGGCATGTGAAGTAGAGATCTTATAAGGACAAAGCTATCATTATGATTGAGATTAGTTACTCTGTGGTTTGGACAGGTGAAGGCTTTTCATTAGTGTCCACAAAGCAGCAGTGTTTCTGACTAGTCTCCAGCCCCGCACAGAAGATCACGCGGGGAGAAGGGCAAACGAAGGTGTGACAGTAGATAGAGATTACAAGGACAGCATCTTTCTGGAAAGAGCAGCTGTCTGTTACAAAGGCTCCTGTAACAAATGAAAGATTGCCTGCCGGATCTCTGGAAATACAGATGAACCCTAATAAGACTGTGGGCCACTACAGCAGGGTTTAAAGAGGAGATAGCAAATGCTAATGACATAGGATGTATGATGCAGTGATAAGTGAGCCCCCCAATTTTTTTGCATGGACGAGGTGTTCTTTTAAGCATACATTTGACTAGTCTTTTAGACCAAGCTAGGAAGGTCTGAATCCATGTGGAGAGATATGAAATGGTCTTAAGCCACGAATCTCCAGAGGCACACCAGCTCTTCCTTTACCATTAGAACTCCATTCTTGGTTTCGCTCCTCTATTAATGAGTGGGGAGTAAGTGTTAAACATTGTCCATTGCTGGTTTTGAATGTTTTTTCCTTTGGGGGAGTGTTACTTTTTTTTTTTTTTTAAAGATTTTTTATTTATTGAGAGAGAATGAGAGAGAGCACATGAGAGGGGGGAGGGTCAGAGGGAGAAACAGACTCCCTGTTGAGCAAGGAGCCTGATGTGGGACTCGATCCCGGGACTCCAGGATCATGACCTGAGCCAAAGGCAGTCGC